CACGTTTTAGGTTTGGCGAGCAGCGAAGAGGATATTTGGAGCACAGAAAAGATGTATTTTCTGAGCTATTGGTTAGGGTTTTGTTTAGAGAGAATTAGAGCTTTGTTGGTGAGATTAATTGCTGAGTTTGTATGATTTTGTAATCTCAATTTGTACTCTTCTTCTCTATTAGTGAAAACACCATCCCCTTCTTGCCCCGTGGACGTAGGCAACTTGCCGAACTACGTTAAAATTGGTTGTTTGAGTTTGTGTCGTTATTTTGCATTGTTTGGTCTTCTCTCGGCGTTTGTTTGATTTGGTCTCTCGAAGCACATCGGTTTGGTTTTGACTTCCGTCGCGCACAACAAGTAGTATCAGAGCCTAACACACCTTTGACATGCAAACTCCCTAAGAACTGCAAAGTCACTTAAGGAAGGGAGTATTACCGGCTTTCTAAAACATATATACAGTAATGAACATTTTACTGAGAACATAAAAAATATGGTCCGTTGAAGTTGCTTTTCGAAATTTGTCCGAAAATTGCTCTGTTTTTTTTTGGGTTGTCCTAGGTGCGCGTAATTCGATCTCTCACGTAAAGCATTAGTCGTTACGTTCGCATCGACGGAGGCGTGAAACTACCCAAAACTTACATTGGTGGGGGTTCTATAGTTTTTCCATGCTCAGGGAGGCAAATAATTAAGAACCATTGAATAAATTGGCATTATGCCACGACCTTGTCGATCTTTTTGTCTCACGCGAGTGCAGGATAAGGATTCCTCCATTTGCCGCAACAGTGGGGGGAAATGGAAAGCGTTCTGAGTGCCTAAGGAATCGATCGAGAACAGCACCACCAGTTCAACTTCAAAAAGGGCGGTAGACTTGGCCCCTCCCCCCCCCGGGTTTGGGTGACTTGAGACAGCAACGCCGCAATCATAATGGATGGCTCTGTAGATCCTCTGCTCTTTCAAGTACCCCCCCCCCCCCCCCTCAAGCCTTCGCTTGGATGAAAGTTTATGCGTTCGCCCCGCTCACCT